TGGTGTAGCTGGTGCAGGGGGAGTTGGGGCTCTCTGTGGAAAGGATGGTCTCCCAGCTGGAGCTGGTGTTGGTGGTGGTGCTGGAGGAGTTGGTTCTCCCTATGGAAAGGATGGTGTCCCAGCTGGTGCAGGAGGAATTGTGTCTCCCTATGGAATGGATGGTGTTCCAGCTGGAGCTGGTGTTGCTGGTGTAGCTGGTGGTGCAGGAGTTGTGTCTCCTTATGGAAAGGATGCTCTCCCAGCTGGAGCTGGTGTTGCTGGTGGTGCTGGAGGAGTTGTGTCTCCCTATGGAAAGGATGGTGTCCCAGCTGGTGCAGGGGGAGTTGTGTCTCCCTATGGAAAGGATGGTGTTCCAGCTGGAGCTGGTGTTGGTGGTGCTGGTGGTGCTGGAGGAGTTGTGTCTCCCTATGGGAAGGATGGTGTCCCAGCTGGGGCTGTGGCAGGAGCTGCTCCTTTTCTCCTTGGAGGTGACGGAGCGATGGGATCCCAGCGTGGCAGGGACGCTGGGCTGGGCAGAGCTCCGGGATATCCAGGGGGAGCAGGAGGAGAGAACTTTTCCATGGAAGGGGGGGGTGTGGGTGGCTCTGCAGTGTGGGGCACTGGGTCTCCCTACGGCAAGGACGTGGGATCATCTGGAGCCTGGGCTGGTGCAGGAGCTGGTGGGAGGTTGGGAGGGGATGGAAGGGATTCATTCCTTGGTAAAGGAGGTGTGGGAGGTGGTGGTGGACCAGGTGGTGAATATGGAAAGGGCATTGCCAGTGATGCCAGAGGATCAGGGAACCAAGGTTCAGCTGGTGACAGAGGGTCACTGTCAGGTCAAGGAGATGTCTGGGGTGAGGGCAGAGATTTGGGACAGTTGGGCTCCCTTTATGGCAAAAACTCTGCCTTTGGAGGGGCAGGGAGCAAATCCTGGAACAGACCTGTTGATGGGAGCAGTTCAAGTGGTTTTGGTCAAGGTCCACCCAGTCATGACCAGATGTCAGCTCTTTTTGGTGGGCTTGCCCCAGCAAGCCAGAGAAACGAGGAACCTGACCTGGATGTGAAAGCAAAGGATCTCCCAACCAGCACGGAAAGTACAGCCCAGAAGAGACGGTCCTGCCTGGATGATATCAAAGGTACGTGGTGGTTCAGTGGCTCGTTGGTGACTCCTGGGCTTTGCATTTGGATACTCACGTTCCTGATCCTGCAAAGAAATGGAATTTTATGGGTCAGGCAAACAGAGCTCTGTGTAGAAATTTGGTTGTGATCCCTTCCTAATTCTCCCACTGATTTGCTGTTTATCTTACACAACTTGCTCTGATCAAATTGCCTTCAATAATTGAATGATCTTTGCTTAAATGATCTAAGTCGGGTCTCATCTGCTCATTCAAACACGTTTCACATCCACGTGGAACCGACCGATTCCCATAAAGTTTCAAGGAATATCATCGCGTTTCTTTGATATTGTCGTAATTTAAAACTTGTTGCTAATTTAAAACTTATTTTTTCTAACATCTAGTGCAAAGAACTGTGGTTTTCCAAGTTCTGGGAACAATTCTTTGCTTCTATTTGGTTCTGTTTGATCAGGCTGAATGTAAAGTGCCTGCTTATATTGGATTATATAATGTAAAGAGCTCTTTTCTCTTGTAACATCAGAAATAATAAGGTGCTGATATAGTAAAAGGGGAGTAATGTGTTTGCAGCTGTTTGAGTAAGACCTGTGGCTCCACTAGCAAGATGATGATGTGAAAATTGTAGAAATGAGGAATTTCAAATGTACAACCAAAGGGGAATATTCACCTGATGGGATTGCTGACAAGTTAGAAACTATCAAGGCAAACAAAATATAAATAAGGAAGTAAAACAAAATTGGAGTTCAAGGGGTGTTTATTAGAGAGGGGATGAGGTTGTTGATGGAGAAGAACTTGGGAAGGGAAAGAGGAATACAGGGGTGGAGAACAGTATTCCTGGGTCTGTTTGGGGGAACATGGTCAGGCAGCCCAGTGTCTGGTCAGTGCAGAGGAAGAGGATGATGAAGCAGGGTATCCACACCCTGGAACAGCCTGTTTTTCCCCAGTGGCTGCAGAGGGAGCCAAGACAATCAGCACAGACATAAACTGAACAGTGTGATTTGTGATGACTCCATTGCCCAGGGGTTGATGGTGGGACTGTACCATGAACAGGCCAGGCTGGCACGTCCCTTCTGAGGGTACCCAGGTGGTCACAGTGTGGGGGCACAAAAGCCTGTCATGACCACAGGATGCATGTTTTAAAAAGCTCTCTTTTCTCTTCCCATGGTCTCCCCATTTCCCTGTGGCTGCTCAGTCCCTCGCTGTTACCTCAACAAGCAGCTGGCCACGGTGCGGGTGGTGAAGGGGGACCCAGCCGAGCTCTCCTGCACCGTCAGCAAGGATGACGTGACAGGAACCTGGTTCAAGGACGGGCTGAAGGTGGGTGTCCTTCCACTCATTGTTTCCTTTGGTCAGCAGTGCTCTGCTCTCTGCCTTTACTCCCTAAGTGCCGTGTCAGGGTGTCCTGGTGTCCTTCCCTCTGCCCTCTGCTGCAGCCAGAGCGTGACCCTGGAAGGAGTCACAGACTCACAGAATCCCAGGACGGTTTGGGTTGGAAGGGACCTCAAAGACCATCTTGTTCCCAGCCCCCTGCCAGGGGCAGGGACTCCTTCCACTAGCCCAGGTTGCTCCCAGCCCTGTCCAACACTTACAGGGTTGGGGCATCTGTTTCCTGACAGAAACCCAGGAAGATTTCTCCCCTTCCTGCTGCCAGACATTCCCATTCTTGCTGACAACAGCCAGCTCTGTGTTTTCCATTCTTTTTCAAGGATGGAGATGATGTGGTCACTTCCTTGCAATGCAACCCTTCTTCTTTTCCTGGGTGAGTGGGAGAAAAATACCAAAGCAAGGGAAGAATCCTCAAAGGATCTTTCAGGCGGGGATATCGTGGAGAGTGTTCATTCAAATTAGTGCTTGAGGTCAAGCACAGGCATCATACAAAATTATAGGGTTGTTTAGGTTGGAAAAGACCTCTAAGATCATCAACTCCCACCTTGAACCCATCACCACCACCACATATCCATATCCTATAGATATATTCTATATCCTTTATTCTATGTTCCTAAAGAACACTGCAGAGTGATTCCAGCTGTGGGATCTAGATGATATTGTAGGACTTCTGAGGTGTCAGACTCAAGCATTGATCAGAAGTTTTGTCATTAAGAACAGAATGAGAGAGCTTGGAGGCTGAACTAACATTTATTTTAATTGATCTTTGAAAAAAATCAAGTCTTTGTGGGGGTTATGTTGATAATGCTTCTCTCAGTTTCAGTTGGGATTGCTTTTTTACCCTTTTTTCCTCAAAGAATGGGTCTCTGTCCTTTACCTTGTAGTTGACAAGCATGCAAGGAGTCGTGTTTGAAAAGAAAGGTCTAGTCCACAAACTAATCATTAACAAAGCCGAAGATATTCATGCTGGGAAATACAGGTTTGAAGGTGGAGATGTGAAAACTGAGGCTTCAATTTTTGTTGAAGGTGAGTCTGTTCAAACCACCAATGCAGGACGTGAGCTTTGATGGGTTTTAAATGTAATATATTTTATCAGAGACCAGTAGTTGGTTATGGAGATAACTTTGTTATGAAGAATTCCAAGATAACTGAGAGATGGTTTTTGTGCAGGTTGGTGCATTTTGTATTCACAAATTTAATTAGGGAGCCTTCCCACACAGCTCCTATTGGTAACTCAATGATTTTGGGGTACACAGAACACTTTATCAGAGCAGGTTCTTAAGTCTTTGTGTTTAGTGTGTTGCTAAAGAGAAACCTTCTCCAGTGGAAGGATGGTGTGACACCACAAAACCTTATGATAATTATCCTGTAGCAAAGTACAAGTTTGTGAATCCCCGAGCACGAAACCAGTGAAGGTCCAAGTGCTGTGAGATCCTCAGAGTTCCTGGCAGTGTCCTGAGAGGAGCCCTTCCCTCTGAGCCTTGTCCTCTCTGAATTGTGGTTTTTAATGACTTTTTGTATCGCCTGGTCAGACCCTCCACAGGTTGACAAAGTTCTCCTCAAGAACCTGAGCAGTGTCCCCACAGTGGCCAAGGCGGGGCAGGCGGTGAAGGTCAGGATCCCCTTCGAGGGCCGTCTGCCCATCAGGGCCACGTGGCTCAAGGACAAGATGGAGCTGGCAGATGACACCAGGATCCGTGTGGACAAAACAGACACCCACACCACGCTGTCCATCCCCAGCTGCGACAGGAGGGACTGTGGGGATTACAAGGTCAGGCTGAAGAACGACAGCGGAGCCCTGGAGATCAACTTAAAGCTCGTGGTCATAGGTAAGAGCCCCATAAATCCACTGCTGAGCTCAGGCAGGGAACCCACTGACACTGGTGAAAATCTTGTTTGGAGCTGCAGGGTGTTCCAAGAGGAACAAGACTGCATTTTGCCACTAAATCAGGGTACAAGAAAAGATTGCTGACATGCCTCTTGCCCTTTAGTACAAGGTGGCACAAGTCTGGTTTGGGTTTTCCCAGCCTCAGCAGCTGAGTTTGGAACGCTGGGAGACTGTGGGAGATGGGACTGTGCTCAACATGCAAATCTGAAATGGGGTGTCAAGGCCAAATTCAACCCTACCATCAATGTCTGGGCCCTCTTGGGAGACCAGAAATTACATTCTTCCTGTGTTATCGAGCTGACCTGGTGCAGTGCTTATGGGAACAGGGAGAACAAGGGCCTGGCTCCCCCTTTCCATCAAAGTTAGAAGAGTGGAAATTTGGAAGAGGCAGTTTCAGTGCCCAGCCCTCATCCTGCAGCTGTGCCTGCATTCTATCGGGAACAGTCTCTCTGTATTCCACCAGGAACAGTCTTGCAGCAAGAGCCAGTGTGTGCTCCAAACCCAGGAGCATGTCTGGGTCTGGAGCCAACTCATCATCCCTCTGTCCATCTTTCCAGACAAGCCACAGCCACCAGCAGGACCCATCAAAGTTGTGGAGAGCTCTGCCAACGCCATCACCATCCAGTGGCAGCCCCCGAAGGACGACGGGGGCAAACCAGTGCAGAGGTACCTCGTGGAGAGGCAGCAGGCAGGCAAGAACGACTGGGAGACCTTGGGAGACACCCCCAGGAGCTGCACCACCTTCACCACCAACAAAGTGGAAGAAGACACGAGCTACTACTTCAGGGTGAGGGCCGTGAACGCGGAGGGGACGAGCGACGCGCTGGAGTCGGGCGAAGTGAAGGCGGCTGGCAAAGGTGAGGAGAACTTCTCAGCATTCACAATTCAGGTTAGGAAATCCATTGTCAAAGATGACATCAGAGAAAACTCACTGCATTTTGGGTGTTGCTGCAGATCTGAACTCCAATGGTTGCTGTGAGGCCTTCACACAAACCTGTGGAGGCTGCACAGCAAGAGCAGCAGTTTGTTGTAGGCTCTGGTGCTGCTGAGGAGGAGTTGCCTTCTTGGCAATGCTCCATACTGAATTGGAAAACCAGTCCCAGAGGGGAAATGCAAAATGCATCCGGATCAAAGGAAATTTTTCCCAGTGTGGCTACAAAGGGAACGTGTGAGGCCTTTTCTCAACTTCCTGGGCAAAGCAGTGTCTCCGTAGGTGCAGCATTTGTCAGCATGGTCACTCCCTTCCCCTGGTTCCCAAACAACTGAATGTTTTCTTTGTCCTTCAGTGGGTTCAAATACTAGAACAGGTTAACCATGAGCACAAATGCAGCACTAGAGAGAGCAATGCTGGTTCTTTCTACATTGATTATGTATTTTGAAAGCTTTAGCAGAGGGTTAAAAAATCCATTCTGGTCCCAGTTTCTGTCACTAAAAGCAAGACTGATGCTGACTGTTCCTACCACCTAAGAAGGACACACCTCACTCCGTTGGCTGACAGTGGAATTGTCAGTCCTGCTCACAGCAGGTCTTTTGTGAAATCAAAACTCAGGAACAAGGTCCGTGCTGGATCCAGGTTTTCAAAGCCCATCCATGGGAATACCTTGGGGAAGCTGGAAGAAGAAACGACACAGAACACTGTTTTATCTTGCAATAAAAATACACCTGCTAATAATGGAACCCTAATGTCTTTCCAGCTTCCCCTGGTGCCCCAGATCCCCCTGAGATCGTCAGTGCCAGCAGGGACAGCGTCACAATCTCCTGGAAAGCCCCTCGTAAAACTGGCACTTCCCAAATCAGGGGATACATCGTTCAGAAACGCAAGAAGGGCACCATGACCTGGCTGCCAGTCACCAATGGGCCTGTGAAAGGTGGGTATCCCGAATCCTGGAACAGTCTGGAACACTTGACAAGGCAAAAAGTTCAGTTGGGTTCAGGAATGGCTTAGGATCTCACACCTTTTCATGTTGGTCTTTTTCCTCTGCAATTCTTGAGCTTCTGACTCACCCCCTCACAGCCATTTTAGCCCATCTGAAGTTTTATCTTCTGTTTTTCTCAGCTCTGGTGTGTTCTGGAGTTTTCTCTCAACTCCATTTTTCTCCCAGCTGAGGTTTTGTGGCTGTGCCACAGCAATGCCAGCTCTTGGTTTGTGCCCAGCTGAGCCTGGGGGCAGGATTATGGTCTTTTCTAGGTTGTGTGGAGGCACCTGGAGAAGAGCACAGAGAAGTTCATGTTGCATCCTGGGACGTAGCTCCTCTGATGTCTCCAGTTTCTGGAATTAAAGCCTTCACTTCACACGTAGAACTATTGTCCTTAGTCCTACAGACAGGACTTTATAAATGCAAGGGATAGAAAGAAACCCAAGTGATGTGTGTGAGCTCCAGAGTGTGCTTTGACTGTAGCAGCATCTTCTATTAGGGGCAAGTTTGGACTTCTCAGGTATAGAAGGGTTTAGGATCATCCCCTGAGGAAAAGCAGGATGCATCCTGTATCCTTAACTTAATAACTCTCAACAGCACTGCTGAGGCTGCACTCTGAGTGCTGGGCCCAGTTCTGCACCACCTAATTCAAGAGAGACATTGAGGGGCTGGAGCATGTCCTGGGAAGAGAACGGAGCTGGGGATGGGGCTGGAGCAGCAGGAGAACTGAGGGAGCTGGGGAAGGGTCTAGAGAACTCCTGAGGTAGCTGGGGAAGGGTCTGGAGCAACAGAAGCAACTGAGGGAACTGGGGAAGGGTCTGGAGAACCCCTGAGGGAGCTGGGGAGGCTCATCACAGAGAAAAGGAGGCTCAGGGGGGACCTTCTGGCTCTGCAACTCCCTGACAGGAGGGGGGAGCCGAGGGGGGTCAGGCTCTGCTCCCAGGGAACAAGGGACAGGAGGAGAGGGAACCTCAAGCTGTGCCATGGGAGGGTCAGGTTGGACATCAGGAGGAATTTCTTCCTGGAAAGGGTGGTCAGGCCTTGGCAGGGGCTGCCCAGGGAGGTTTGGAGTCCCCACCCCTGGAGGTGTCCCAGGAAGGACTGGACATGGCCCTCAGTGCTCTGGGCTGGGGGACAAGGTGGGCATCAGGCACAGGGTGGACTCGATGATCTCAGAGGTCTTTTCCACCCTAAATGATTCTGTGATTCTGTGATTCAAGTGCTGTTTGATTTTGAAGGGAATACAAAGAACACATCCCAGAAGTACACACACACTTGGATAGGGAAGGGCAGGGGAGTCAATGACAGCATTTACAGCTCCTGAGGATGATTCAGTCCATAACTCTACCTGGAGTGAGGTCCTGCATCATTGTCTCCCCTTTCCTGCTGGGGGGCAGCTCCCCCGAGCCAACACACTCCTTTCCTTCCTGCAGACAAGAAGCTGAAGGTGACCAACCTCAAGAAGGGTGTGCAGTACGAGTTTCGGGTGGCAGCTGTCAATGCTGCTGGCACAGGAGATGCCAGCGACCCCTCCCAGCCCGTGTTTGCCCGGGACCCCACGAGTGAGTGCTCTGTCCTTCTGCTGCTGGGGTAGCTGAACATCCACTGGGGGTGTTAGTGGAGAGCAGACCTTCTGAAATGCTCTGTAAAAGTGTGTGAAGACAAAGATCAAATAGCTGGGGAGTGTTTCATGGTTGAGAATCAGCTCGAGGAAGGAGCGGGAGGATTTCCCGTGGGATGTCCAAGGGAAGGTGTGGCAGACTCCCTGTGTGGGGTTTGTGCAGTGTGAAGGACTCAGGGTGGGCTGCAGACCGTGTTGGGGGTGCTGTGGGTTGTCCTGCAGGGCTGGCAGGAACAAAGATCCACCTTTGAAGAGCCGGGACGAGGCGTGGGCACGACAGCAGGGTGGATATCCAGTGCTGTCCAAGAATGCCCGGGAATCTCAGGAAGGGATGAAAAGATGGAACAGAAATCCTAGAAAAAAATACTTTCAACAAAATTTCTCTTTCCAGAATCCCCGGGCCAAGTGCAGGAGCTCAGAGTGAGCAGCTGTGACGGCACCAGCGTCACCCTGGCGTGGAACAGGCCCGAGGTCAAGGATGGGAATGAAGTGAAGGGCTACGAGGTGGAGATGAGGCCTTCCCACGGCTCCAGCTGGACCAAGTGCCTCACCCTCCCTGCAGAGGCCACCTCGGGCACCATCAAGGGCCTCCAGCCCAAGGAGAAATATTTCCTGCGTGTGAGGGCCCTCAACGACAGCGGCCCCGGGGAGGCCGCGGAGCTCGAGGCCGTCATGGAGGCCGCGGCCCCCACGGGTGAGTCGGGGGCTCCTTCCAGGGGGACGGGAGCAGCTGGGGGTGATGGTTTATCAGTGGAGGGGTATGGACATACTGCTCACAGGTCACTATGATCGGCAAGATGTCAGCTTTATTAGAGGAAAGGCAGCTTATATACTGCTTATGACACACAGATGTGTGATTCTTTTGCAGGTTACATTGGATACATAAGGAAAACATACTGTGCTGTACAGTACTAATTGGACCACAACAGGTGTCCATAAAACTTGTTTACCTGCCAAAAGAACTCCTCCTTCACCTTGGCACAAGGCCTGCAGCCATATTAGTGGTGTAGTATTTTTTACTGTCTGCACCCAGCTGTGCCAAGGCAAAGGTCACAGAAATGCAATAGAAATTGTTCACACAATTTCTGTCCTCCGACAATGGTTTGGTCCGGGCCTTCCTGGCAACCAGGTCGAAACTGGGAAAGGGGCTATATCCCAGTATTCCACTCTATTTCTGTACGTAAGCAGAAGTATTACTACAAGGGGGAAGGAAGTTAGCCAGAGTCTGGAGCTCTTGGTTGGGGTTGCAGAGGAGGGGCAGCCCCGCTGAGCTCCCGGGGTTTGCTGTGGGCCCGGGGACGTGGCTGCTCCATCCTGACTCGGGAGGGGGGTTCTGGTGGCACAGTTCTGCTTTCTTAAGGGAAGTATGAAGATTCCTTTGTTTGCTAGCTCTCTACTAGCTGTGTATATCTACGTATATCAGTTTTTCCATTTGGGTTTTCAGGTGTTGGGGTTTACTCTTTCTTATATGTAAACAGGTTTTTTCGCAATTGTATAAGGTCACTCTAAACAAACCTACGTCCTGAGGACCTCACTGCCATTGTCCAAGCTTGCTTGGCCCCGGCAGATGAACCTTAGGATTAAAGGGTGGGCTCAGTTCAGCGCAGGCTGTGTCTCACCTAAAAAATCCATTGCGCAGGCTGGAAAGGTAAAAGACCTTTCCCAAAATCTTCGTTCGCGAAGACTGGCCATACATAAGTTTAAATATGTATATATATATATGTATATACTGCTTTAGCTCAGTTTATTTCAGGTCTTTTGGTTCCTTTTCCCCTCTTCCCTTTCCTTCATGTAAGGGGAGGGGAGTGCTTTCGGTGTGGATCTTCGGGGACTTGGGTGTAGCCAGGTCCAGACTGTGACAGAGGGCTGTGGGACACAGGGATGAGCCTCCTTCACATCCCAGACTGGCAGGAGGATGATGAGCACTCCGTGTCTCCTCTGCACTCTGCTGTTACCTGGTCATGTCACCAGGAAATTCTGAATATTCACCCGATGTTAGATGTGCAGAGCACAGCGTTCGGCCATGTTGGAGACTCATTAGAATAAAAGAACCCCCAAAACTCTCTCTTCTCTTTGCATTTATATTTTTATATTTTTATATTTATATTTGCAGAGCCTTATCACAGTCACCAGGCAGAAACCCCACATCCCTTATCCCTACCCACCTCTTCTAAGGGAAAATAGAGTTTTCAGTCTATTTTCATACAATCTTGCTGAACTAAGCATTTTATTTCATTCTCTCAAATCCCAATTTTTAGGTTGGGTTTTGGATACTTTATTTAACTTTTTAGTTTTCTAGGTTGAAAGTTTTTTACCATTTCCACTTTTCCATCTTGATTTACAATCTGTACCTCTGCTTTTTTTTCCCCTGCTGCTTGGGAATATTGCAGAATTACAGAAGTAAGAGATAATTCTGTGAGGGATTCATCTTCCTTAACTTGGGGCCTAAGGGGAATTGTCTACTTTTGGGCTATGCCTGGAGCTCCTTTTATATTCAGTCAGTAAATAGGTAAAATAAGTCCATCTGGGAAGCAGGTTTTTCAGTTTTGTAGTGGAAACACTAAATACAATTTAGCACTATTGTATTTGACCTTTAAAGAAAAATACTAAATACAATAGTATATTGGTTAAAAAATATATTTTGAATACTAAAAGAATATTATTTGAAATAAATAAACTCTGGCTGGTTTCCTGTGGGTTTTCTGTACTCTGTATTGAATGTGTAATTTGTAAGTGTCCCTCGGAATTTCCTTTTCTCCAGATACCATTTAAACCCCAAAGATCATCCCTGTGATGGGGTGAAGGGTGCCAAAGGGCCAATTGCTCTGGGACTGAGACATCACACGAACACAGAGATTGTTGTGAATGGATTTTTATGTCATTTCCCCTCCTTTGCCCGCAGTGATAAATAAATAACGACGGAATTTGAAAGGTGTAAACGTCCAACTATTGAGTGTAACCCTGTGTTTATCAGTTCCCCCCAGGTTACTGATCGACGACACAGTGAAAAACCTCCTGGTGATCAGAGCAGGAAACCCCATCCGGGTGAATATTCCCTTCGAGGTACGTGTTCCATGGATTGTGGAATTCCCTGCCTGTCCCTGTGCTGGGGCTCAGCAGCAGGAATGAAAACTGAGCCGCTGTTTTCTTGCCATGGAATTCAGTTTACGAGACACTGGGCAAATCCTTTGGCTGCCTGTGCTGGGTGTGCTTTCTAGGCGAGGAAAACAGCAGCAGAAATTCAGCTGTTGCTCATTGGCATCGGTGTTTTACGAGATTGTGGGCATTTATTAACCTCTGCAAACGAGGCACAGAGCTGTCCATCCAACCTCAGCAACGCTATCAGCATCTGCTGCTGCTCTGGCAGGCTTTAAAATCATTAATTTTTATATTATATATTTCTAGTTAACATTTATATTAAATCTTATATTTATATAATATAATAAATTAAATAAATTTTATTAGTATGTATAATTATATATAAATAAATAGTATTATAACAACATAAATATTAAATAAACAAAATATTACATTACATTACATTATATTATATTACACATTTAAAACTATATATTATATAATATTTTATATAATATATTTATAATATATTTATATATATATATAAATATTATATATATTATATAATATTATATATATATATATATATGATATATGCTGACCTTTCTCCTGATCTCTGGGACAACTGAGACCAAAGATGGCACAAGGGAAATAAAGGCTTTGAGGTTGTTTTTTCTTTCCAAACCCAACAGATCTTTTTTTTAAAAAGCAGAAAATATTAATTCCCGATGGCATCTGTTCTTGATGCAGAATAATTTGGCTGACATAGTTCTGAACACTTTGCTGCAAAAACATCCTTAAAGACACTGAGAAAGAAAACAGTTCCAAAGGAAGGTCAGAGCACATCAGGGATCTTGGATCCCTCTCGGGTCCGTATTCCTGGACGTGACTTTACTGTGTGGTGCAGGAACATATTTGGGAGGAGATAATGACACCACAGATGTAAAGACAGGATCTGGAGGTGAAGCAGGCGGGCTGTGACTCTGCTGTTGTTTGCAGGGCTCTCCCGAGGCAGTGCTCTGGTTGAAGGATGGGCTCCCCCTTCCCGGCCGGGCTGCCGTAAAAACCCAGGATGGCTCCACCCGGCTGCTGATCGGGACAGCAGAGCTCGGGGACAGCGGCTGCTACAGCGTGGAGCTGCTCAACGGGCTGGGCAAGAGAGAGACCTTCAGCTTCCAGGTGCAAATCACAGGTAACTCCTGCCAGCCGTGGGCACCAGGCGCTCCCGGGGTCAGGCCAGGCTGGGGGGGAAGGGATTGGGAGCAGCCCTGAGGGGAAGGATTTGGGGTGTTGGTGGGGGAGAGGTTGGACATGACCCAGCCCAGAACCCCCCGTGCCCTGGGCTGGTCCCACAGGGATCGTGGGCAGTGGGGAGGGGGGATCCTGCCCCTCTGCCCCCTCAGCTGAGACCCCCCTGCAGAGCTGCTCCAGCCCTGGGAACAACAGCACAAGGACGTGGAGCTGCTGGAGAGAGTCCAGAGGAGGCCACAGGGATGGTCCAGGGCTGGAGCCCCTCTGCTCTGGAGCCAGGCTGGGAGAGCTGGGAATGTTCCCCTGGAGAAGAGAAGGCTCCAGAGAGACCTGAGAGGCCCTTGCAGGGCCAAAAGGGGCTCCAGGAGAGCTGGAGAGGGACTGGGGACAAGGGATGGAGGGACAGGACACAGGGAATGGCTTCCCACTGCCAGAGGGAAGGGTTAGATGGGATAGTGGGAAGGAATTCCTCCCTGTGAGGGTGGGGAGGCCCTGGCACAGGTTGCCCAGAGCAGCTGTGGCTGCCCCTGGATCCCTGGGAGTGTCCAAGGCCAGGTTGGAGCAACCTGGGATAGCAGAAGGTGTCCCTGCCATGGCAGGGATGGAATGAGATGAGTTTTAAGGTCCCTCCAACCCAAATCAGTCTGGGATTCCGTGATTTACTGGGAACAGGCACCAAGCTGAGTTGGGCAGGGTGACCTGTGATGCAGTTTGGCCATTCAGGCACAGGGAGAACTGGGGAACAATCTTCCATGGGATTCAGTCTGGACACTTCATGACATCACTTGTCTGCAATTGGATTGTCTTCAGAGCAATCCACTGACTAAAACTGTTCTTCCAGAGTGACTCTGGTGGAAAGGGCCAGCCCAGGTCCCAAATACAGACCCTGCAAACCCCAGGAGCAGTTCCTGCTCTCTGGAATAGCCTGAGGGGGGTCAGCACAGGCTGTGGGACACGGAGCCCCAACTGGATGAGCTCTGGGAGCTGTGTCCCCAGGAGGGGCAGCAGTTCAGCTCTGTCACCCTCCTCTCCTCCCTGAGGAAGGGCAGGAGGCCCAGCAACACCCATGTTCTGCAGCAGCAGCTCAGTTCATGGCAAAAGTGTTTGTGTGGCTGGAATTTACCCCTTCCAATGATCGGGATCTTTACTGAACCCTCATGGGATAACATCCAAGTTTTTAGGGTTCTGTGCTGTGCCACTGTCCCTACCCCTGTGACATTATTTGCCCTCCCTTCACAGACATCCCACAGGCTCCTGGACCACTGAGGTTGGAAGAGAATGTTCCCAACACAGTGACAGTGACCTGGGAACCATCAGCATCCGAGAAGTGGGAGAAGAACCTCTACTACACCGTCCTGAAGCGGGAGTCCCAGAAGGGCGTGTGGCACGTGGTGGGGGACCTGCTCTACAACAACAAGTTCACGTTCACCAGCGTGATCCCAGGCAGGGATTATTACTTCAGGGTGGTGGCCAAGAACAGCCTGGGAGCCAGTGCTCCCTCTGAAACTGTGCAGCCTTGGAGGATTCGAAAAGCAAAGGGTAAAACAGCTTTTACAGATATTTGTCTGCGTGTCTTGTCGTGCTTGGTTTCTTTTATTGTTTCTAACACCCCATCCTGAAATGGGTCCCTCCTCCTAGGAATGTTTAGTTGCCCAGAACAGGAATGCCTAGAGGTACCCTGAGGAATTCCAGTTTTGTCCTTTCTGCAGGGACATTGTGCAGAGAGTCCCTTCATTCCCAGCCTTTATATTGTGCAATCTGCCACAAAAGGAATTCCTGGAAAAACCTATTAAGTGTTGCAGAAACCAAAGTTTCTGGCTCCAAAGTGAAATCCAGGGTCACGTGAGAAGCAGCACAGGTTACAGTCCATGGACACAGGGGATCTCTGGGACTTGCAGTGCGGAATTCCAGGCTCTTGGCAGCCGAGTGTCTGACTGAAAACCAGCCCTGCAAACTTCCCTGCTGGGAGCTGGACCTGAGGGTGTGTTCATGTGTCGCTGTTTGTTCTTTACAGCCGAGATCTGGGTCAGACCCCAGAGGTACAGGGGAGTCAACCAAAACCAGCACCCGAGGTTCCTGGTCCCGCTGAAGCCCCACGTGGTGGTGACAGGCAGTGAGTGTCACATGAGCTGTGCAGTGGGGGGCCACCCCCCCCCAAAAGTCACCTGGTACAAGGACAGCAGAGACCTCTCCAACGACCCAAACTACTTCTGCACAAACGTCTTCGGGGTCTGCTCCCTGGTCATCCTGGGGGTCACCAAGCAGGACGCAGGAGAATACATGGTGGAAGCCTCCAATGAAGTGGGTCGTGTCTCCAGCAGAGCCTTCCTCGCCATCAAAGGTAAAACCTGCAGTGCTCTTCCTCCCCTGGGGGATGCCAAGGGGTGTCCTTGCTGCCAAAACTGGTCCCGTGCAGCTCTACCTGCTGCCAAGTGCAGCCTCCTGCTTTATTGAACTCCTGGTTCCCTTTTTAGTGATCAAGGATGGAACAGAACTAGAAACTGAAAGGCACATGTGAAAAAAACCACTCAGTTTGTACACGAGACAGAGGTTTGGGTTGGCTCTGATCACATTTTTAGAAAGAACAATCCCATTTTCCTTGGATAAGATAATATCTTGGTTGGGTTTATCCCCAGTGCAGGAGCTGCAGAATAAAGATCTGCAGATGTGCAAGTGGAGGGGGAGCAGTGAGGGAACAGGGAAGGTTTGGTGGCCAGAGGCAATGGGAAGGGAGGAAAGGGAGGGACATGGTGAGGGGCACTGGGATCCTGATGGGAATGGAGGAGAAATGGGACTGACTAAGGATGGATAAACTTATGGATAAATATTGCTGGTGATTGTACCCAGTGAAACATCCTTTCCTTTGAGTCAAATATTTTCCTTTTAATGCAAAACCCCTCGGTGGGATGACACGAGTGGAGAAATGGGTCAGTTAAACCTCCAGATTTCCCAGATTTCACAGAATATTCTGAGTTGGAAGGGACCCACAGGGACCATCCCTGTCATCCTTTTGCAGGCACTGGTCTTTTTGGCCCTGTGAGTTTTTAGCTCCCCCTTTCCAGGGAGCCTTTTCAGACTATTTATCATCTCCTTCATCACAACACTGAGCCACTTCTCTTTCTCTTATTTCCAGACTCCGCCCTGTAGTTTGACCCTGCCAGGAACATCTCTGCCCTGCTCTGTGGATGAGAAGGTTTCAGTGAGGACTGGGCCATACCAAGCCTGTGCATTTATTTTCAGATGTTCACTGTAGCCTGAGGGGTTCATTTTTCACACCCAGTAATTGCATTTTGAACACGACGCTGCGTTTTAGTCAAAATCAGGGGGAAAATGCTTCAAGAGAATTGTATTTTTATTTTTGTAACAATCATGGCTTTCCACTAGACCTTTAAAACACACATTAGAAGCTTTGGGAACACACAAGATGAGAGGAGAAATAGTTGGCCAAAATGAAACTTTCCATGGAGAGCACAGGCAGGAGAGACCATCCCAGCACAGCCTCACCTGCTGTTGGGCTGCAGCAGGGACATTTCTGGCCACCAGAGATCTCTGGAGTTGGCCTTTCCCATGTGGTTTTCTAAGCCAAAACAACCCCTTTGGATTCCACTGGACTCTCAGCAGGTTTCCTAACTCTGGGAGAAGCAGTTCTGCATGTCTTGCACTGCCATAGCAGCTCAGTATGTTATTGTCCTTCACCTCTAAGTTAAAGGAATGTCTGCCTGCTCATTTTATCTGGGCCAGAGATGAACCCTCAGACCAGGCTGGCACGGAGGAGGTGGCACTCACAGAGCAAATGCCCTGCTGGGAAGGACTGGAATTCCAATCTGTCCCCAGCTGTGGCACTGTGAGCAGAGCAGCCCCACGGCAAGTGCTGTGAGAAAGGCTGTGCCAGCCCTGAACTGCCACCCCAGTGTCACCTCTGCACCCTCCCTGCCCCTGGCTCGTGGCACTGCTGGGATGGTTCTGCCTGATGCAAAAAGACCTTAAAAACCTTTCCTGTCTGAGCAGAAATGGGAGGTACCAGCAGACACCTCCTGCCACGGAGGGGGGATTCCACCACCGAGAGGGGGAGACTGGGAAGCAAAATGTTCTGGGGAGGGCAGGGAGGTGTCACAGCCTGAGCACCAAAGGTGCTGCTGTGACAGCACCCAGGAGACAGGAGAGATCAAAGACTCCAATTCCCTGGATCCTCAGACACCCAAACCCTCCCGTGGGGCTGAAATGTTCCCTTTGGTTACGTTTTGTACAACGTTGTACAGACAAACTGGAGATTATGAAATTAAACCATAATTCAGTAAAATCTACCACGAGTACGTGTTTCTTTTGGAGGGGGCAGCCCAGCCAGCTCCTGAATCCCAGCCCCTCCCTGTCTGCTGCAGTTTTCACACCTTGATTCAAAGAAATCAAACTCAACACCTTGATACTGTCAAGCCCTGTAATGTTGGGAATAACTCTTCCATAAACACTCCACTGAAACAAGGATTTCGTGAGCTTTTACTCCCTTTTACATCTCAAGCTCCTCCTTGACAGTCAATCATTTTATTCTTACAACATTAATCTTTAGTTAAAGGTAACCTAGACTTCTTTTACTTAAACAATCTTTGAAATGGTTTCATATTTTATTGCTACAAGACATCAACATCAATTTTTAGTTGAAGATAACTTAAACTTTGATCTTTGATCCACTTAATCTTTGATTGATTTAGCTCTCCAGAGTGTATCTTCATATCTTATCGTTACAGGATTTATTGATTTACCTCTTGAGAGTGTAACAGTCTCTAGAACTAATCCAAACTCCAGCTGCACAGGTTGCTGAGCTCCTTAATGTTTACTCTCTATTTTCTTAGCAGGGTTTAGGTAAGGATTTCAAAGTTACAAAATTTAAGGAGTTCTGGTGGGTTGACCTTGGCTGGAGGCCAGGTGCCCACCCAGCCACTCTATCCCTCCCCTCCCCAGACAGGAGAGAGTGAGGTGGAAAAAACAACTCGTGGGTCAGGATAAGGCAGTTAAACGTACACGCTAAAATTCCATGTGTGGCTCCCAAAATTGAACATGGACAAAGATTCCTCCCAGACAGAAGGTGCCAGGACAGAAAGGTCCAGCTCCCCACGGAGTGCCCAGGCTGGCCCACAAACTGCACCTGACAGCCCAAGATGACAGACAGGCTTTCACTCCTGGGAGAAAGGGCTGGGGGTCGTTTTCGAAGCCCTGCACTGAAACTCCCAAAATTCCATATGGATAAAGATCCCTCCCAGACAAAAGGTGCCCGCACAGAAAGCTCCTGCTGCCCGTGGGTCTGGGGCTGAGCCGGGGGGTATCGGGTGTCTGGGGGTGACCCCAGGGGCGGTACCGGCGCTTGGGGGGTACCGAGGTCTGGGGGTGGTCGGGGGGGGGGTCCGGGGGTCTGGGGGGGGGCGGGGGGGGGGGGGGGGGGGTTGGGGGGGTGGTACCGGGGCCGATCCCGGCGGGTACCGGGGATCTGGGGATGATCCGGGGGTGGTACCGGACTGGGGATGGGGAGGCGGCCCCGGGGGCGATCCCGGGGGCGTTCCGGGGGATTTGGGGGCGATCCCGGAGGCGGTGCCGGGGATTTGGGGGCGATCTCGGGGATCTGGGGGCGATCTCGGGG